TAGTACTAGCCATTAAAAAGTGGAGGCCTAGCAACTGATTGTCCTTCCCAGTTCCCAGGTGGTGCACTCATCTTAATCTTCTCCTAAGGTGTTAGCCTCTTCAAGGATAACCCGCTCTGATACCAATTGATGTTTTATACGTCAATACCATACAAGAGTGGGGGATGATTTGTGTGGTGTCCAGTTTTTCGCGTGCACAGATTATAGAAGGACCTGGTTCTTCTATGTGTTTCAACTACTACTGTTATGGAATAATAAGTACATAAATTAAAAAACACAGAGATTTTTATGTGGAAAACACCTGGCTCAAAAGGTGAAAAAACCACGACCTACTTCTCAGTAGGATTTTCCCAAAACTCTTTACTAAATCAGTGAGCCAAAACAACATTTACAGAAACTCTTTTGTAAACCTAGGATTACCTCTAACCCCTTGTAGCAAACTAGCCTCTAGCTATTTGCGACAAACTTCAAGTTAACTCTAACTTGAAAATACAAATTACCTATTACAGATGCTTCTAGATAAAGCTAAAAAGGTACAAGTTAAAACCACCTACTACAAATAACTAGACTAAAAGACAACAGTTAGAACTGGTTCTTCTAGCTAGTTCAAGTAGCGTCAGATTTGCACACTCAAATATAACTCGAACTGCTTGCAAAATTGCCTCGCTATTTTGCTCTCAATTCTTGCTTAACTTCTGCTTTTGTGCATACCTGTACAATAAGAACATTCTGCAATATATAGAAGTTAGTAGATAAAGAATTAACTAGAATCCTAATGCTACTCTTCCTTGGTGGAAGAGTTCTAGTTAAACTCAACTCCTAAATCCTTCCTTATCTTAGATACTGTTCTTACTGAATAAGGAGTCCTTTTCCTTATCGTTTTTACAATCTTTTCGATCAGGAGATATCTCATTCTACCAAAATATGCTTATCTCCTGCATGTGCACCTCACGTACATTGACTTTGCTGGTGTCTATGTCTGCCAGTGATAGACCTGGTTCATATCTGAGTTCCTTTGTCAATTTTCAAAACTATTCTCTTTCTTGGGCCAACAGCTAGTTACAACAACCCAGTATAATCCCACTAGTGGGGTCTGAGGAGGGTAGTATGTACGTAGATCTTACCCCTACCCTGGGGTTAGAGAGGTTGTTTCCAATAGGCCCTCGGCTCCCTCCCTCCAAGAACTTCCTACCTTGCTCTTGGGGTGACTCGAACTCACAACCTCTTGGTTGGAAGTGGAGGGTGGTCACCACTAGAGCAACCCACTCTTTTCAGTGGGTTGTAGCTAGTGTTACAGAAATATAGTGATCTGTTTGAGGTCCCTACACAGCTTCCTCCTCCAAGATTATAGGATCACTCTGAAGGAAGGAATCTCTCCTATCAACATCAAACCCTACAGGTATCCAACTATACAAAAGAATGAGATTGAAAAGATGGTGAATGGGATGCTAGCTTCTGGGATTATCAAGCATAGTACCAGTCCATATTCTTCACCTATTGTGATGGTAAAGAAAAAGGATGGATCGTGGAGATTATGTGTGGGCTACAGGGAATTGAACAACTGCATAGTGAAGGATAAGTTCCTTATACATGTGATTGAAGAATTGCTAGATGAGCTACTTGGTGCCAAATACTTCTCTAAGTTGGATCTAAGGTCAGGGTACCATCAAATCTGAATGTTTGAACATGACAAACCTAAAACTGCATTTAGGACTCACCATGGCCACTATGAGTTTCGAGTAATGCCTTTTATTTTAACTAATGCCCCCTCTACCTTCCAACGCCTAATGAACCAAATTTTTTACAATTGTCTCAGAAATTTTAATATATAGTCCTGAAGATCCTCTACCTTCCAAGCCTTCAAGATCCTCAGATCTCATGTCCTGTTCATAAAGCAAAGAAAATGTGCTTTTGGGATTACACAAATCGACTACTTGGGGCATGTCATCTCTGAGCAAGGTGTGGCTATGGGAAAACAGAAGGTAGAATGTGTCCTAGACTGGCCTCAACCAACTACCCTCAAAGAGTTGAGGGGATTCCTAGGCTTGACATGCTACAATAGGAGATTCATAGAGGGGTATGGAGTAATTGCAAGGCCCTTAAATGACCTCTTAAAGAGACGCAATTTCCATTGGAATTCTGCAGCCATTGTTGCATTTGAAGGACTGAAACTATCTATCACATCAGCACCTATCCTAGCCCTTCCAGACTTTTTCAAAGAGTTTACAGTGGAGGCTGATGCATCTGGTGGAGGAATTGGGGTTGTACTAACACAGAACAACAAGCCAATTGCCTTCTTTAGCCAAGGATTATCAGACAAAAACAAGCCATTGCCTGTCTATGAAAGAAAATTGTTGGAATTAGTAACTGTTGTGCAGAAATGGAAATCCTACTTGTTGAGAAGACCATTTGTATTAAGACGGATTATCATAGTCTTAAATACTTGCTAGAGAAAAGAATTACCACACCAAGCCAACAGAAATAGTTGGTCAAGCTCCTTAGCTATGACTACTCCATAGCTTACTAGAAAGGAAAGAAAAATGACGTGGCTGATGCACTGTCAAGAAAGAAAGATTCTATCCAACTATATAGTATTTCTGGTATGCATTCCGACCTATTGAAAGTAGTTAAGGTCACCTGGGTGCAAGATCCTGCATTTCAACAACTCACTAAGAATATACAGGTTGCACATGTCCACAAGCCTTAATATAGATACCAATCTGGTATCTTGAGTTGGAAAGGCAAGATGATAATAGGGGATGATGTTGTAATTAGAACTAAGCTGACAACTTTTTATCATGATAGCCCTATGGGTGGTCACTCTGGTATTACAACTACCTTAAAGAGGCTCAAACAAGACTTCTATTGGAAGAAGATGAAGCATGATGTCTATGCTTATGTGAGGAGTTGTGAAGTGTGTCAGAAATGCAAGGTCGAGAATGTAGCTTATCGTGGCCTTCTTCAACCCCTCCTTATACCTGATAAAGTATGGCAAGATATCTCTATGGACTTTATAGAGGGGCTTCAGAAAGCTGCTGGGAAGGAAGTAATTTTTGTTGTAGTAGACAGGTTGAGCAAGGCTGCTCACTTCATAGCCCTCAAACATCCATACACTGCTTTGGATGTGGCTCAAGTATTCACGGAGCAGGTCTTCAAGTTACATGGAATGCCTAAATCCATAGTGTCAGATAGGGATGTTGTATTTATAAGAAGATTCTGGAAAGAATTATTCAAGTTGTAGAAGGTGTCATTGCTTACTTCAACTGCATACCACCTTCAAATAGATAGTCGAACTGATGTTGTCAACATATGTTTGGAATGCTATTTAAGATGCATGACTTGAAAGACCTAAGAAATGGCCACAGTGGTTGCCTTTGGTAGAATGGTGGTATAACACCATTTTCACTCTAGCATCAACATGAAACCTTATGAGGTAGTTTATGGCCAAAAGCCACCTCCACTCCTTCCTTACATGAATTTTGACTCTCAACTAGATGTGGTGGACAGGAGCTTACAAGCCAGGGAAGCTACACTAAGAACCCTCAAGTTCCACTTAGAAAGAGCTCAAAATAGAATGAAGATGCAGGCTGATAAATACAGAACTGATAGGAGTTATGCCATTGGAGATTGGGTATATGTCAAGCTGCAACCTTAATCTCTTAAGTAGCATGCCTTTCAGAAACTCTCAGCAAAAGTCCCTTTCAAATCATAGCAAGAGTTGGGTCAATAGCATACACATTAGCCTTACCTATTGGTACTCGAATTCACCCAACATTTCACATTTTGCAACGAAAAAGGAAGATAGGCTCTCACTCTGCCTCAGTCACCTTACCAGTAGTACACTTAGAGGCTGGGCATGTCCTGCTGGAACCAGAAACTATCTTAGATAGAAGGATGATTCAAAAGCGTGGTAAAGTTGTCGCTCAGATTTTGGTCAAATGGTTCAATGTTGCGCCGAAGGACTGTACATGGGAGGAGTACCGTGAGCTTCGACAAAAGTTTCCACACTTCAATCCGTGAGGTCATGGATTATTTGAAGGCGAGGGTAATTGATACGACCACAATGAGTGACCTTTCAATTTTTGTTCACTTTCTTTTAAAGAATTGATTGTAGCAGATTAATTCTATTTGAATTGACAGGTTAGTTAGAAGCTCACGTGAGAAGCATGTGTGTATAAGTGGGCTATGTAGCTGATTTCAAAAGTTAGTTATAACTAACTTTCCCACTCCCCTGCTATAAAGCTAATATTCCCCTCGATTGTAAGGCACCTGGAAAATTAAGAGAAACAAGATTCCTTTCACCTCTCTTTCTCTCATCCTGAACTCAATTGAGTTCTAATCGCAGAGCAAGTTGTTCAAGAGCAATTCTCCACGTTTTTTCTTTAGACAAGCTCGATTTCTTTTCTTTTCTTAATCTGAATTTCTGGAGTTGTTCATTCTCACTTATGATGATAAAAGACCAACAAGAAAAAAGAGAATGACTAGATAGGCCACTAGTTGGAAAGTGGGAATTCAACCAACATAGTGTTTTGTGATGCAAGTGTAAACTAATATGACTGCAATTCTGCAACACATCTCATGGTATTTCTCGGAAACAAGAGTTTCAATAGAAACCCTAATTGATCCAAGAATCTGATATTAAGAGAACCTTAACCTAATGTAAACACTATAGCTGAGTAGCTGATACAGGAGGCAAGTACTTGTTCACTTGTTGAGTAAGCCTAATTTCTAGCTGCATTACAAAGAACCTTAACAGTGTCAAAAGTGCAAAGCTAAATGAAAATGAACCAAAATAAAACAGAGTTTCAATTAACTAAATGCACAGTAGAATATAATTCTATATCAATCGAACTGTTGTGCTTCAGAAGGACTATTTTTCTAACGAAGATGATGTCCTGGTCAGCTGGTGCAAACCTCAACTATTCCACTGAATACTTGGTCTGCTTTCTTATCACATGAAGATCTACTACACAAAAAAGAGAGGTTGCTAAACAGCAATGAGACCTAGCATTTTTTGGTTGAACGGGATGGTATTTCCAAACAATGGTGTGCACAATCTCAATGCAGAATCACAATTGAATGAGGAAAACGAAGCACTTCAATCAACAACACATTATGTCTCAAAAGAACACACAGGACAAGGTTGGCATAAACAAATATGCCTAAACATGAGAATACCAATAATAATACTCAAAAGCAATAATGCAGAATGAGGATTTAAGAAGCACAATAATCTTATGGCACTGAAGCAGAAAAAAGCATGCTTCACTCAGTTGCAGCTGCTTCCATCTTCTATTGCCTGCATCAAACATGGTAACACTCTGTTCAGCCTGTTGATTGGTAAATTCAAAAGGCAAGTGCTAACTACTTTCAAAAAACCAAGAAGGTGAAAACCAAAGCAAATCATATTGGATAAAGATTATCGTTAACCAAATTACTCTTTTATCTGCCTTTGCTAATTCAGGGTCTCCCAAAACTATACCCTAACATCATAGTCACATCGTTATGCAACATCTGATAAGGCAACTCGGGAAAGCAAAGTATCCTTTCTTGAATTTAACATTGAGCATACAGTGGCGATGGCAACAATACACAAATGTTTGAGAAGTAAAGAGTATGATAGGCCGTTGATAGCAACATTTTTTAACAAACTAATAACAATCCCTCAGTTTCAAGTTATATGATGCTCTTTCTATTTTGGAAGGTTCTACAATATTTGACACAATTCAGTTATACAAGATCGCTAATAGATGAAACTATTCACATTAATTCTAAATTTTGACGAGATGTTTTAACTACCGGACTAACTTTCAAACACTAATTTCATATTTTTTACTAATATAATATAACAGTCAAATATTATCTTCCAATATCAAGTGAAATACCACGCCATAAACTGAAATAGAGAAAGTAAAGCAGTACACAACGTAAGCTAGAAGGAAACTTAATTACGTTACTGTTGAACTTTCTCTTGGATATCCATTGACAACTAAATGTTATGCAAGGCTGCAACATTTTCTTTCCCCACCAGCAAAAAGATCATAAAAGCAGCAGGTTGAATAACTCACCAGAGCAGCCGAAATCAAATTAATTCTTATTATGAACTTAAATTATCCAATAACTTTACTTTCTACACTACTCTCTTAAAGCCTCTTCTATAGCTTTCTCTAATAAAATGTTACCTGATGAGCAGTTCTACTCATTGATAATATATGACATAAATTCCACCAGTATATTGAATTTCAAACAACGAGACATCATTTTATGCTATTTTGCTTGAAAAAGCAAATTAGTGATCATGGACCTGCTTCTTTTCATCTTTGGCGTATAGTCTTGATTAAGTTTCTTTACTTCCAGATACTATCCAACTGTTTACACTGATCAATAAAACAGCATTGATCATACCTGTTGACTAATAACTATTTTTGGATACAACAAGAGGAAAATTAGGATGATTAACCAACAGTACTATAAAAGATGAGGTACCATCGTGCATGCTCTCTGCAAACGATATTGTGTTAATCAATGAAATTAGAGTGGGTGTCAATCAAAAGTCCCAACCAAATGGCGAAACACTTAACAGAGTAAGGGATTTAGGATAAGTAGAAGTAAGACACAATACATGCACTACAATTCAGATATGCAGGCTCAATGTTGCAGGAGGCAGGATTGAAGTAGGATGGTTGAAACAGAGGAGTACCAGAGGAATGTCATATGAAAAAAAGTTACCTACCAAAGTGAGGCAAATTTTAAAGAACGGCCAGACTAGCAATGTTGTATTGGAGTGAATTCTAGGACTCTTAACCCCAAAATATCCACAAGATGAGTGTCGTAAAGATGTGAATATTAAGATGGATGTGCAACCACGCAAGATTAGATAAGATCAGAAATGATCACATCCGTTAGAAGGTGCAACTATAGCAAATGTAAAGGATAAAATTAAAAAAGATATCACTTGAAATGGTTTGGCCACGTGTTACACAAGCCTCAAAATGCAATGGTTCTTACATGTGAAAATAATGACTGAAGGCGCAATATAGGAAAAATTTGCCCAATATCACAAGGAAATAAGTTAACTCAAAAGATTCAGAACATCTCGAAATTTTGCAAAAGATAAAAAATAATAAAAAGTGAAAATCTATATATGTGATACTAACTAGAAGTTTAACATTTACTAAAAGACTCTAGATATCTCCAAAAATATAACTACAACAGTACATTAGAGAATCCTTAGTGTTATGTAATCCTTAAGTACGAGGTATTAAAATATTATGAACTCAAACATAGCATTTATGATGAGGATTGATACAATCGACCACAACGTGCTTGTTCCATGCGTTCACTTGGTTTCTCCTAAAGTACTGGTGTCGCAACGTAATAAGGGAATTGCGATCACAATGTTAGTGAATTCATTGGACTAATGTGCTAATGACACGAGTAAGGTAATGCCAATGTGTATACAAACCCACACGAGAATGGTGCAGCCATTAGGATAGATAATGTGTATAGTATAAGTTGGATGTATTTTGAAGTGATGAAGAAGTCCAAAGAGGCCAAGGATCAAAATCGAAAACAATGGTAACCCCCAGTACCTTTCACGTTAGTGTAATTAGGTGTAATTATATAGTTTTGGTCTATTTATCTGGCCAAATAGTTGCTTGGTCATCATAGAATTGGATGCATTTGAGAGGCTTCATGGCTTGAATGCTAATAATGCCACATTGACTAGCATCTTCTTAGCACAGCAGCCCAGTGTCGACTTCCTACATTCAAAAACATGGCAACGTAGCTCACAGGTCATGCCCCGGCACGTCCAGCCTAGTACAACCCAAGGGTCCTAAGCAAGGGCAGTGGCGAAGTTGAGAGACAGAATACTTGTAGCAACACGAGCGCAAGACCTGGGGAAATTCAGGGGCTCGCACCGTGAGCTCAACGCAAGGGAGCTCAAGTGGTCAAGCTCAAGGGCAAAAGCCGGTTACAGCAAAGTTATGCCACTGTGGGCCTTATCGCGAGAAAGCCAAGTCTGGGAAATTAAGAAGGCTTGTGAATGAGCCAAAACAAGAAGGTTGTCATACCGCAGTGCTATAAATAGCATTGAGGTCGAGGAAATAGAATATTTTGGTCATTTATTGGACTTGAGAGCTCAAGGGAGAAGACACGGACATAAATTAATTTCATCGCAACGAGGGTCATTTATTGTGATTGTTGATAGATTTTAACAATTTAATCCAAGTATTAACATCCAAAATATTTGGATTCCACGGAAATCTCAAGAATCACCAAGAACAACCAAATTCTTGAAAGTTCAAGTTTTTCCAACAAGATAATCTCACATCTTGACTTGCATGATGACTAAATAAGTTTATTAAGCATATTTATGGGTAGAAATTATGGTTAAACATTTTTTTATTGTTAGAAATTATGGTTATATATGGTATAAAAGTAACTGTAAAGTTGGGACTTGTGAAGAAGAAGCAACAACAACAACAATAACATACCCAGTATTATCCTACACCGTGGGGTCTAGGGAGGGTAGTGTGTACGCAGACCTTACCATTACCTTGTGAGCATAGAGAGACTGTTTCCAATAGACTCTCGGCTCAGGAAAACATAAGCACCACATTAATGAAATATAGACAAGGTACAGTACCAAAAAGCCATATAAAAGCATAATAAAAACAAGACAGTAAGGTGATCAACAATGAAAGCAAACAACAGTTAGTCATAAAAATCTACTACCAATAGAAAGAGAGAATGCGTATCAATACTACTGTTATGAACACTCTAGACTACCTATTCTACTACCTTAATCCTCGACCTCCATACCTTCCTATCAAGGGTCATGTACTCGGTCAGCTGAAGTTGCGCCATGTCTTGCCTAATCACTTCTCTCCACCTCTTCTTTGGCCTACATCTACCTCTCCGTAGGCCCTTCAATGTTAACCTCTCACACCTCATTATCGGTACGTCTGTGGTCCTCCTCACATGACCAAACCACCAAAGCCGCGCTTTTCGCATCTTGTCCTCAATAGAGACCACACCCACATTGTCGCGAATAACCTCATTTCTGATCCTATCTAATCTAGTGTACTCGCACATCCATCTCAACATCCTCATCTATGCTACCTTCATCTTCTGAACATGAGCGATCTTAACTGAGATTAAAGCATCTTGTGAAGAAGAAGATGAGTAGTAAAACTCGAGATTAAAGAATGAGTTGGATAATGACTTGACAAACACCATATTAAATTAATGGACATGTTTAATGGTATAAATGAAGGGGATTGAATTTGGATGGCGTGTAGCTAATCTATGAACCGTAGATGGCTCATATTGATCTTCTTTGGACAGGAATTGATGGAAATTAAATGTAATTCATGCAGATATTGGACATATTGGACGTCATCGGGACAATTTGGAGGCAAAATCGAGGTAAGTTGAGATGTACTTTCCTTTAAGTCGTTTTCCTTGAAAATTATCTTTCCAAGTTTATGAAAGTATCATCAGAATGTAAGTTCATAAGAGCAAGCGAGCCATACTCTCCATGTTTGATGCAAATTAATATTTTTGCTATCTCATGACAGTGTATATACATGTATTATTAGGTCTTAGTTACTATTTGTCAAAGAGCACTCTACGTTATGTTTATGAATGGAGACAGACCCTAGAGTTAAAAGGTTTCAAGTTGAGCAAGATAAATACAGAATACTTAGAGAGTAGGTTGTGTAACGTGACTCATGAAGCGGACGTGGGCGTGAGTCTTAATATACAAGTCATCTCTAAGAGAGGAAGTTTCAAGTACGTACCTGGGATCTGTAATCCAAATTAATGAAAAGATTAACGACGATATCACACATCGTATTGGTGCAGGGTGGATAAAGTGAAAGCTCGCATCTGATATTTTATTTGATAAGAATATACCACCAAAACTTAAAGGTAAGTTCTACAGAGTGGTGATAAGATAGACTATATTATGGACGAAATGTTGGTTAGTCAAAAACTCCTATGTTCAGAAGATGTGAGTAGCAAAAATGAGGATCCTGAGATGGATATGTGATTATACCATGAGAGATAAGCTTAAGAATAAAGATATTCGGGACAAGGTCAGAGTGGCCTGCGTAGTGGAAAAATATGGGAAGCGAGATTGTGATGGTACGGGCATGTGAAAGGAGACGCACAGATGCCCCAGTAAGGAGATGTGAGAGGTTGGCCATGGTGGACCTAAGGAGAGATAGAAGTAGGTCAAAGAAGTATTGGGGAAAGATGATTAACAGAACATAGCGCAGCTTCAACTTACTG